CGAACGTGCTCCCGGCACAAAATACCGAATAATAAGAAAAGCACGAGAAAAAAAATAATGCCCCGGAACGAACAAGGAGAAAAAAGATCGCGCGTCGACAAATCACGTCGTTCCTTTTCGCGTTGCATAACGAAAGCGCAACTCGCCGCTCGCGTGTATTTTGTTAACGTATGAGGGCGCGATGTCGCGGACGCGAATCGATGGAAAACGAAACAGACTCTTTGATTAACGTTTAAAGGTAACGAGCGAGCAACACGGTAGCCGTAAACCGCTTTTCGACGATTTCCTGGCCCATGCTAAATGTCTCGCGTGACCCAAGGTTACGATCGATGCAATTATCGTTATTTGCTATAAACGAATCTCTTAAATACACCGGGGGCATTTGAGAAGAGAAATACACAAATTAAGACTCAAGTTCCGTGATAGAGAGCGCGCTCGCGAAAAATATTTCAACGGGTCGCGACCAAGAGGTCTAGAAGTGCGTTGCTCGCTTTGAGAAAAATACGTTTTTGCGCGCCGCAGGCAACGCATTAGCCGCGCTCGGAACACGTGTTCGGCACGAACACTTTTCTCTACACACTTGTGAACAGGCACGCCGTGCGTGCCGTCTGCGTACACAACGCGGGTTACATAGGTTACGGCGTTCTCTCGCGCCTCCATTCTTCTCGATACTTTGTACGTCTACGGAGATTATCCAGCCTGCGACGGATTCTCAAATGGAAAAACCACCGAGCGAACCCTTTCATGCGCGACCGCGCCGCTTTACGCTTTATAGATCAACGCGCTACCTAAGCGAAGAGCGAAACAAAAGTAGCATGGCGTTTAACGCTACATTTACGGACCTTGATTGACAAAGTTTCGTAAACACCCAAGGAAGCTTCTTTCATAATCGCGATGTGCGTCTCTTGAGAGAAAGGTGAAAACAGTGTATCGAGCGCGAAAAAACCTTATCGTCCGCTGAAATTGAGCGGATATCGTTAAAGCGAGGAGAGCTCGTGGGAGTGTTGGCGCGTAACTGCCGGCCCGGGGAACATCGGGGTTGAGGAACGCGCGCGCGGCAGGAGGAAGAGGAGGGACCCAGAGGAGTAAGATAATAACGTATTCGACGGAGAATGGCATTGCTCTCGCACGCGGTCATCCGCCGCAGTATGAATTACATCGGCGATTGAAACTCGTTCGCGATGAAAAAAGCAACCAAGAGACCCCGGGCTGTCGGAGGAGCTGGGATTTGCATATTAAATGGCTTGAGATTTATAACGGTCGGCCCAGAGAGGTGCTAGCAATACGCGCGATAAATAAAGAACGTTCCTCTTCGATAGACGCACCGGAGAGCCCGTGACTGTTCTTCGCGCCGACTGCCTCCTCTTCTTTCCGATCCTATTCACCCGATCAGCGGAAACGAAGCATCCTTCAGAGGCTACCGATCGATACTCTCCTGTCGCTCGACCATCGCCGACAATTTTTATTCCCTCGACGCTCCCAAAGTATTAATAGTTTGATAACTGTTGCGACGAACGCGCGGTGGGCTCGCCCCACCTGTCGTTTCACCGGATTTCGGAATCGCGAAACAAACCGGTTTACAGATATCGCCGCTGATTATGCCCTGTTTACTCGAATTTGTGCGTTCCGCCTGCCTCATAGTGTCTACTACCGCGCCGAATTTCGAATTTAGAGATCATCGAGAGATGATTAACTACCACTTTATGCATATACATATAATCAATAAATTGGTATTCTTGATTTTCATCTTATTTTGGCCTCTAGAGAACTAAGCGTTAAGGGATTGATCGATGATTCGTCACCAGATTTGAATATACGTAGATGCAGCCAGGCTAGATTTCCAAGGAGTTGGAAGTAATCCAGCGCACAGGCATTTATCGAGTATACTTAATCCTACGACATGGGTTGTGCCAATAAACATGCAAAATTTCACCAAGTCTGACAACTGGTAGAGCTCCCAAAATCGTTTTAAATTTGTCTTCGTGTTGGATCACGACGCGATTCTGCATCTTGAAAACGGAATTCGATTCGCGAGCAATTAATTCGATCGAGGTTCGATACGAACGAGCTGCAAGATAGCTATTCGAAGGGAGCGTCGATAACAAACATAGATTGCCGATAGCTCGGCTAATATAGCCGGATGTGATGAATGGTCTTTTATACCTATGGACGTGGCCGAGGTGTTATGAATCGCGTTAGCGTCGAATCATTGTTCGCGTCGGCACAATAACGGGCCCCGCGGGGGGTTCTCGCCCCCAGCCTCTCCCGTTGAGCTTCTACCCTTTATTCTCTCGCACTGTCTACCCTTTTTTCCGCGCGATTTTATAATCGAGCTCGTAAAGACCGCGTCATTCGAAGATCAATCGACAGTAATTGCGAATTTATACTTGGCAGCGTTGCCAGCCAGCTTTGTCCGCGAGATATTTCTGAAATACGATCGATCGTGTTCCCCCCCTTTCGTATTTCTTCGACCCACCGACGTATTATTTATATCGTTCCGTATCGAGGCCTTGGTAAGCTTTGCTTCGAGCTTTTCCCCTTTCTTTTCCACGATCTTGCGATATAATTTCATTCGTTGATCGTATACGTCGAAGGTGTTATCTGAGTCCGTGAGTCAGGCATGTAAATATTTCGCGATACGCAAACTGCATAGTTCACTTCGAATGCATTTATATCGCGTGGAATGATACTGAATTCCGTTTCAAATAAACGTTAATTACCTTCGATACTCACTGACAGAGACCGTGACCCTAACCAGAATGATCTATCCGCTGACGTATTTCGCATCGTAAATGTAACGAGTTTTATCTTTGCTGCTTCTTCGTACGGTCGCAACTCGACCTCCTTAAATTACTCGTAAACTGTTGGACACATGAAAATATCTTCATATATCATCTTCTAGCGAGGTGAAAAGTATGATGTGTAGGATATTTGTTCGTACGACATTTATTAGCGTGCAAATTCAGTTTCGTAAATATTTCCACGAATTTTTGAGTCACTCCAACCACGAAACAGTTTACGATATTGAGAATGGTCGAGTCGTAGGCCCCTCCGCGTCGTGTATGTACGTTATTTAAAATTCCGCGTTTGATAAACGATCGTTGTTGTACTCGGAAACAGTTTAAGAAGTTGCTTCCCTCCTCCCCTGCCGGAAGATAGATATCTTGTCGTTACGACCGATGTTTTAGTCAGGTGTAAAGGATTCGGTAGACGCGTGATCGTGCTCGTTAGGAATTCCGGCGATCAACGTTTCGACGAGGGTCGCGTTTTGTCGTTGCGAAAATTACGAGGCATTATTCACGCTGTTCGCGGCGGCGCGGCGCGGCGTTTTAAAGGCGACGCGACACACGTGCGACCCGCATCTCGTTTCCTGCACACGTGGATTCCCGGGACGTTTCGCGCCTAGCCGCGTCCGAACGCCTCGTAAACGTCCACGTGGTTGAAAGGTTCGATAACACGTTGCATCTGCCTCCGTCGGACGATCCGAAATTAGATTCCGAGATGGTCGAAACAACCAAGCCGCGAAACTTTGTCCTCCCGTTCCTCCTCGGTCAGAGAATCCCTCATTTATCAACATCCACCCAAGAACACGTCCAAACGCTTCGTTTTTGCAAGGATCTATCCGTGAAAAATTGCCCAACGCGATCGTGGAAAACGTGCAGCAGCGAAGCAGACTTGTTCGAGAGATCTCTCGCAACAAAGCCTTGTTGTTATCGTTATTTTTTAATCAATTGACGGTTGTGAGCACGGGAAATGCAAAAAAATAAATAAAAGAAAGAGCAAGGAAAGGGAAATTTGTGTCTTGCTCGCAAGAGTTCGTTGCGCCGAGGAGAGATCGAATCGCGCGCTGGTGACGCGTCGTCCCAGCTTGGCCGCGAGTCGCGCGGCGTATTCACCGAATTCTAAATACCTTGGCACGGTTTCCGAAGTTCGCGCGACGACGCGAATACCGCCGCGCGACAATGCAGCGGTTGTCGACAGGTGCGCCAAGCTATAAATAACCGGCAGATATCGTTTTCGCGCCTATTTTTTCATTCACTCGTAACCCGATTTCCGCGAGAAAAATAAGAAACGACGTCCGATTTAAAAATATACCGCATTGTCCGCGATACATGACAACGAATTTCCCCGCGTATACGACCACGGTGGCTCGGGCTAGTTTTCGACGTTATTTATAATTCAATAACCGAGTCCCGCCGACTCGTTTTCGCACTTGGAACATCTTTTGAACAAATTTAAACAGAATTCTGTTTTCATCGAATCGTTTGTTCGAAAGAAGAGTGCATTTCTGTGGCAAAGCGTAGGCGGTCTGCGTAGGTTAAATCCGGAGATTCGTTTCGGGATTTGGAGGCGTCCCGGCGTTGGACGTCCACCGGATTATGACAAAATTGCAGGCCCGCTTGGAACGCGAATGCGTGCCAAGAGATCGTAATACGTCTTCGCCTCAACGATGGAGACAAATGCGAGGACGAGTTTGTTCGCGGACGGAACTCGGTGCGTCTGTCTCGCGAGAGGATTCTTTCGCCAGTCGTCGAATCTGGCCTTGGACGTCGATCGGAACGATCAATATTTGCGGAATTAATTCCCACGTATGATTCGCGAATCGGACGATAATAAACTGCGACGCGGAGACGGCTCGAGAAGAGCGGCGCATTAATGACCGCGGTCGTTCGCGTGTTTGCTTCCAAGAACGATACACCTTTTTTATTGTTTGCCTTTCAAATTCAGCCGAGAATCTCGAGTGCCCGAAACCTTCGAGTTTGAAAAGAATTCTGATAGATTCCGACGAGCAGAGTGCAAGACTTCCCGGTCACCGAAACTTTCTATATTAGTAGATCGTAACTCTCTCTTTGCGAAAATATACGATTATCGGAAACTTGATATTTTCTCGAGTTCTCAACCTGCTTTCTTTTTTATCAAAAATACTATTCGAAGTTTTGTTTTTATATTTAAAATAAAATGTTGAAAGTACGGTGTAACAATGTCGCCGAAAGACTCACCTCGTTTCTGCATGTAACTGAAAAGGTCGTCCAAGAACTCCTTCCTTTTCGGATCGTCGTTGATCTCGTACAGCTAAAAAAGCCAGAAGAGTAACGGTAAATACACACGTTGCGTCAAACGTCTCGGGACGCGTGTTTCTTTTCCGTCGAGCAAACACGGCCGTTGCGATATCTCGCGATCGCCGGAACGTAGAAACGGAAAGAGAAAGAGAGCAACGCGTCGTCGATCCGATATAAAAAATTCATCGTGGCGTTATCTCGCGACGATAGCGCGTCCCGTTTCTTCTCGCTGTTCCTGCCAGGAATAAAACGTTAGTCGTCGGGGTCGGGCTAGTAAAAACAGGAGTGGAACAAGTGTGCTCGTAGCGACAGGCAGATTAGTTAGCTCTGATTATTAATGATTCCGTTTAACCTGCCTCATAACCCGAAACCCACCCCTCCCACCCCTCGACCGGACGAAAGCCAAACTCCCTTCGGGCTAGTGGCTCCGTATTATCATATTTGTTATGTACGATGTGCTATATCTAATCCAAGACCCTCTAATTGCTTTTATAATACGAGTCGCTTGGCCCCTTTCGCCGACGAGCTTTCAGTCACTCGAACCATCTTTTATCCGTACCAGCGATTCGGACGGTACGATTATTTTAAACGATTGCTCGAAGCATCGATTTTTCGTGCAATCGCACGTTCGACGAACGATCCGCGGCTTTTTGTCCGCGTTTCTGGTCGTAGTTTCGAGATAAAGTACGCGAAACGTGAGAATCGCACGATCCGCCGATTCACGGTTTTAGAAATTACGCGCACCCACGTCACCGTGTTCGCGAAACAAGAAGCAACAAAACTTTTGTCCGATACGAGTGCTATCGGTATCGAACGTTTAGACGCGCGGCGAGTTACCTTGGCTTCGCAGCTTTCAATTTACGAACCGTCCCAACGTTAAAAAACAGTGTTGTTCGCGCTCCTCGGCATCCTGGTAATCCTTTAAACGCACGCGTCTGCCGTCCTCGTTCGCCGCGCGTCGCTTTCCGACAACCCCTCTCTTCTCGTTCCTCTCGGCTCGTAGATTTGCTTCGACGATAAATTTCATTGAACGAAACGCGCTGCTGCCTCGTAACGCGGCCTCACGCGGGGTGAATAATAATTAATTTGCTGCCCGGTCCCGCCGCCGTTCATCCTGTCTAGTTCACGAGTTGCGGATCTTGCCGTCCGCGAGCGAAACGATGGATATTTTAGAGGGGAAACGGCCGAAGAAAGAGAAAAGCCTGTGTACGGACGTGCGTACCAATGGCGAATCCACGAACCTAGAGCCTCGTTTAAGATGAGATTTATTACGAAAGAGTATATTCGCTATCCGTGCGTAAAAGGGGTATTTTTCATCGATCACCAGCACCCACGACACGAAAATCGAAGAAGGTTCGACGGTTCGAAAAACGATCGTTCTCCGAAATGGCCGCTATCGTGGCCCGCTTATGCACGCATTCCATTCCGTTTTGATGGCAGCGGCCCAGCTCGATCTCATCCACCCTCTGCGCACCGTCGAAACGAACGACTCGACAAACGAACGAACGAACGGACGAACGGATGGACGGCATTTCTCAAGGGCCATTTTGTACCACTTTCTCGTGTTTTTTCTTTGGTTGCGCGAGCGATGAGCTCGTTAGAGGTAGTCCGAGGGAGAGGACGGGGTAAAAGGTCGGAGCAAGAGAGACAAAACGACGAGGACCGGGAGCGACAGAGAGGAAACCGAGTCCGAGGGTTCAGCCAGCGTATATTGATTGATCTACAGTTAAGCGGACTGACGGCAGCCACGTGAAGATCGGGTAGAACGGCTCCGTACTTTCTCTCTGTTCCTCCTGCTCGTTCTCTCGATCCTTTTCCTATCCTTCGCCTACCCGTAAAATAAAGAGAGGCCAACGGAATTTGCTCTCGATGATGCATGCTCCGCGGCCCCGCCCTCTCCTTCTCATCGACTGACGGGCTGTGAATAATAATTCCTGATACAGCCGACGTTGATCGGGTTACTTTCGTCCCTGTGAGCAAAGGAGGGACGCAACCCGCTTCGATGATCGATGTACGGCTCTTCCCTGCTAGCGCCGCGTCCTCCGCGTCCTCCGCGTCCTCCGCGTCCCTCGAGACGCGATGCGATTGCGTTTTTGTCGTCCAAACGATTAACGGTCATTAGCGGCCAATCGTCGCGTCGTTTATCCCGAGGATAGGGATACGCACGAGCAAAAAGACTCGCCGTTGATCGGTCATTCGCGAAATCGCCCACACACCGATCGAGAACCAACAACCATCCACTCTTTCAACGCCCACGTTCAAATCCTCTCCTCCACCGACGCGTAAAAACGCAAATCGAAATTTATTTATTGTAAAAGCTAAATAATGCAAAGAGAGAACGTACGCAAGTGTCTCCGATTCTCCAGAAGAGAGGTCCCCGTGAAATTGGCGGAAGACTGGAGCGAACCGAGGGAGACGCCACGCGTTTTTACCTTTACGAGAAGTAATTATCGATGCGCGGCTCTTTCTGTCGTCTCTGAGATTCAGATAACCCGCTCTTCCGGCTGATAAGGAGCAACGATAACCGTGTCGGGCGTACCGCGTGTTGCAGCGATACGAACCTCGTCGAGTGTTTGCACGGTGTCTTTGGCAGATTGCGATCGCAGTTACGGAAACGAGCAGGACGACGTGCAAAAGAGCCGTCGAGGAAAGGTCTCGATCAAAATCTTACGACTTGGAACAAATGTCCCCGTGAGATTGGAAAGCCGCGTCGACGACAAGAAATTCCAAGAGACGGCTCATTGTTGCGACCGAGTAAACGCTTCGTTTCGTTTTCGCACGGAAGGTGTACCCGTATGAGCACTTGCGCCCCCGCGAGTCGACCCCGTCGACTTCCGGTCGTAAAAAGGTTTTATAAGGGCGCGTCGTGTCTCGAGCGAAACCGGAAACGGGTGCAGCCTTTAATAATGTACGGTGTCGAGGTTAAGAAGGTCGCTTCTTGGAACGTTCTATTCTACGCGCGAGCCCAATTTGCGTTCAATGAAAATTAAAGTGTAAACGAAAAAAAAAAAAGTAACATTTAGAAACAATGTATACGCGCGCAGGCGGTCGTTTGCGTTTTCTCCGAAGGAAAAGGTCGCAGTTAGCGCAGGATATCAAGATCGCGCGTTATACGAGCGGCCGTAATGGCGGTGCTACCATAACCCGCTTCCAGGACATTAAAGATAACGCGGCAAATTATAATTATTACGATGCGAACAGAGTGGTACGCACCTCCGCGTTACGCTCCTACGAGATCGTTCGAAACGTAGGAAAACATCGACCGTTTCTATTCCCTTTTTTATTACGTCGACACCATCGATTCCTCGGCGAGGACTTTTAGTGCCATTTTTTTCTACAAGAAATCAATATTCCGGTGTCCTGAAACGTACTGAAATGGTGTCGTCGCGCGTCGATTAAACACGGTTCTGGAAACAGCGTCGACCAAAGCGTGTTTCCGTTCGCGGAAACTCGACGAAAGCGTGCAACCAGTAAAATATCGAGAAACACGGATTGTTTGTACTACCGCCAAAGAAGCAATAAGCGTAACGCGGGCCAGCCCCCTCGTATATCCGAAGGAAAGGCCGGAGGATTCGTTTATATCGAGCCGGTTTTGTCTCCGGCCGGTTTCTCGCGCGAGCGATCACACAGGACGGAGATAATAGCGGCGGTCATTGCTGGCGAATCGACAGGGAGCTCCGATAATTGCGGTGCACGGCACAAAATTGTGCAGTTCGACCAAGATTACGAAGCCACGAATCTCCTTCCGATTCCTATCCTATACCGTGATTTATTTATTTCGTTCGAACGAGATGGAACTAAGTAATATTCGCACAAGTTCGCGGAGCCGAATAACTCGTTTGAAAGAGGCAAACGGAGACAAACTACGGTGGTCGGCGCGGCGGTGGGAAAGAAAGGCGAGCACGGTCCATGGTTTCCCATTATCGGGACGAAATCAATCGGCTTTATTCCAGCGATATCGACGCGTGGAGAAAGGAGAAGCTCCCGTCCTTGGTCAGACTCTAATCCGAATGAGATTCTACTCGCGCGGTTCATCCGCCTCCCTTTGACCGGTCGACAGGATGCCCGGGAAGAATCGGTCACGTTTTTCAAGCGATTCGGCCAAGTCTTGCGAAAAGCAGCTTCCCGCGCCGTTTCTTTATCCCCTCGCGACGATTACGAGCACGCTTTCAATCAGCTTCGAAGAATAACCTCGGTGCGTTCGATTGTCGTTCACGTTCATCGTAGGAGTGGGGATCCACTTTCGGAGCCGACAATTTCTCCGTCAAAGTCCTAGTCGTTTAATTAAAGGCAGTAGATATTCAGGGAAACGGTCGGATTGAGATATTAAAAAACGAACCGATAACTCGAACGCGACGTAAAACGATTCGAGCCGCGATCCGGAAACCGGCCTGAAAACACAAATAAAGAGTCCGACGGCGACGAAGGAGGTCGTAGAGCATTTTTTTACGAGGCGAAGGGTATAAAATATAAGGAACGAAATGGAGGTTGACGTTCGATGACGCCAGATGTCGGCGTTACAAAGAGCACCGGCGTAAAGAGCGAAGTTCGTGGTCCCTTGACGTCCTTCCACTCTCGTTCTCTCTCCGAGAGTCCCGATACAGACGGATTTTATGCCCGTAGCTGGAAATATTAAATCGCACCTAAGCACGTTTTATGTCGACCGCCTAATAATCTCCACAAACTGTTTCTCTCTTTCATCTCTGGTGCCCTCTCGTTCTACGCGATAGAGTCCGTCTTTTCGTCACTGTGCCTCGACCGAACCCCGTAAGAACAGTTTCTCTCTTGATTCCCCGCAGCTCCTTCGTCCTGAGAATGATCGTTGGTGGTCGGTCCAGCTGTCCACGGGCAGTTTATAAACTCCCAGCGTTTAGAACGTTTCGAAAAACCTGCCGTTTCTTTATTCCGTAACCCTTTCTCGCGACCTCCTTCTCCGATCGTTCCAACGGTTAGCAATTTATATTAAGGACATTTTGCAGGATATTCCATGGTTTAAATTTCCTAAATTTTTAG